CGACGACTCCCCCCCCCCCCCCCCCCCCCACACACACACACGGAAGCTGGAATTTTGTTATTGATCCAACCCTTGTTATTATTTTACATTTAAGTTCTGTATTACACCCTCACAAAACTGTTAAACTGCTTATGTGTTTGTTAAACTTTTTTACTTAAGCCCTGTTTTTCACTCCAAGGTGTGGCACCTTGTTTACTGGGCCCTTCTCTTCTCTTTCCTATTCTTAGCTGAGCCTTTGCCATTCACGCCTGGTGGGGGCAAGTCCTTTATCATGGGCTCTGATGACATGTTGGAAAGCGTGCTGGGCCTGGGAGACCTCGCAGATCTGACTGTGTCCAATGACGAGGCTGAATACAGCTATGATGTAAGTACCCCAGCTTGACAAAGACTGCTCCTCTGCTTTGATAATATTCTATTCTGGCATAAATAGATGATAGCCTCTACTTAAAAAAATAAAAAAATAAAAAAAAAAAAAGTCTGTTTGCTGCTAAATGCAGTTTGTATCGTGTTAACCATCAGTTGGTCCTGCTTACTCAAATGTCATGTACTGTATTAGTTTCATTCTGTATAAAGGTTACAGAGGACCACAGTTGTCAAAGCCAGTGTGGTTTGCGGTGTTCTCAAATAGGACAACTATCCTAATGCCTCACAGTCAGTCGACCTGCAATTTCCAGGTTTGATTTCACAGTTATTAAAATGCCTCTACAACGGCCCCTCCCCCCACCCTCTATTTTTAGCTGCCAGCCAATAAGGACGTGTTCAGGAAGACATGGAATCCCAAATATACCCTGCGAAGCCACTTTGATGGAGTGCGGGCCCTGGCCTTCCATCCTGTGGAACCAGTGTTGGTCACAGTCTCGGAAGACCACACCCTCAAACTGTGGAACCTCCAGAAGACAGTTCCAGCCAAAAAGTAAGTGCTCGCTGTGGCTTTCCAGGGAAAGGGATGTCTTGGGATCGGCTTTGGTCTTCAAAATGATGTCTCAAGAAGCACATTGATTTTATCATGCAACATTAATGTTCCAAACAAACCACTAAACAAAGTTTCATCTTGCTTCGCAGAAGTGCCTCTTTTGATGTGGAGCCCATATACACGTTTAGAGGGCATATGTGAGTATTAATTTCATAATATTGATCTTTTATACACTTTTTTTTCAAAACATTCCAGTTTATCCAAAATGTGTTAAATAGTGTTGTGAAGGTATGGATGATTCTGTACATGTAGGCATTGCCACAGCTGTATGCGTTCAGAAGGGTAGTGTTCTCCTGGCTTCTGGAAGGCCAGTGCATGAGATGGTTACATGCAGAGATTTTGTTCCCACTGTTCCAGAATCTACAACACACCAGCCAAAATGTGCATGGTGATGTTAACTGTTTAAAGATGCATTCACTAAGTTTTTTTGTTTGCCCTTATTCATCCCAGTGCGCTAATACTTTATACCAGGGGTGTCAAACTCACTTCCTGGAGGGCCACAGCCCAGCAGAGTTTAGTTCCCACACACATACCATGTAGTTTTCAAATAAGCCTGAAGGACTTGATTAGCTGGATCAGGTGTGTTTAATGAGGGTTGAAGCTAAACCAGAGATTGTCTTACTATAGGGAGATGAGAGGGTCTGTATTACTTACTATTGGAGAAAGCGTAACGGACAACTTGGATCACGTGTGCCTTAACCAATCACATTATAGCCTTGACGTCATTGAATTTTAGTCAGACTTGTGCAACATTCAGTCGCCGTTTACGGATACCATAGGAATGAATGAGAAGTGCCGTAAGCTGAATCCCACTTGTCGCAAAAAGTCGGTGACTTCTCTTACAAAACAACTTTTTTTTTTTTTTTTTTTGGTGAAAACTCTAAAAATAGTTAAATCCAAAAGTATTGCTTAGTGTAAAACATGTTGAAGATTAGCTGATAGGCTGTCGATTCATTACATGGTAAGCTGTTTCCTCAAAAAGCTGTCTATTCAGCGTAGTGAAGCCTCTTCTCCATTAACATACATTCAAAAAATGGCCTCTTGACTCCTTTCCCATGTACTGCCAAAGCAGAAGAGTTAGCATTAGCCGCTGTGCTTTTTTGACTAAAGGTTGCAGGCTTGCCTTCTAGTGGCTTTGGCTGAACTCTGCAGGTCTGTGGCCCTCCTCTCCTCCAGGAACTGAGTTTGACACCTGTGCTCTATACTGACACCTACTGGTCCAGATGCTTTGTGTATTCATTTCTGAGATTTCTTGCCAGAGCTTTATTTTGCTGTGTTGTTGGTGGAAAGCAGTTGGCTTCTGCATTACACTATAAACAGTCTAGCTGTTGATTGAGTGCTTGAAGTCCCAGCATATGTCTTGATTATTATGGTTAGTAATGTAGCTGGTCAATAACATGACAGGGCTGGTCATGTGATGTTGACCTGATTCAGTCCATAACGGGGTGACCTGCTCATTGTAGAACAGTGGTTCTCAATCATTTTGACTCCTCCATTGTCCACAACTATTTTTAGCCCTATTGCTTTCCCAGTTTTTGATTTACTGCATAAGGATTTAAATATGATTTGACACATTTTTACCATGTTTTCATTTTTACAGTTTCTACTCTTAATTATTTTAGAGCTTGGCATAAAAAGTATGTTCAAAAATGCCTACTTTTAAAAATAACCTTCCACATATATCAAGATTTTCAAGACTGTGAGATTTAAAATAAGAAATATCTAGATTTTTTGTTGTTTTAGTGTAATATTTTTAATAGTCGTTTTAGTTTAATATTAGTTTTGTCTTATTTTAAATCATTTCAAGTCGTCTGAAGGCCCCCTTGGAAGCTTGCCATGGCCCCCTGATTGAAAACTACTTTTGAAGAATAAAATAATTTTCTCGAAGACTCAAATATCTTCATGTCATGTCAGTATAAATCATTTTGCTCAAAAGTGTTGTTTATTTCTTTAGTGTTAAACTTTTTTTTTCATTGGCAGAAAAGATTGAGTGCCGCTTTAAACCCATGTCATGAAGCTCTTGACAAGCATCTTTTCAGTCATTGCTTTTGGAGCTGCATAGAGAGTGTTTTAAATGAGGGCACATGATATTTACACTGAGATCTCGGTCCTGTCCTGTGAGCATGTGTGGTCTACAGTTTCACTGCTGTTGCTCTACGTCACACATACAGCAGATCAGGGCAAGAATTTAATTAATCCAAAAGTGTATCAAGTGTTCTACTGGCACTGTTTGACTAAAAGATTGTATGACTGTGTACAAATAATGCACCCACATGGCCCCCAGGAAGTATTTGGACTCTTGAGAAACATTTAAGTGTTTGAGAATTGTTGCATTAGACACAAAATATTGCTTTTCTCAGAATTAGTTGTTTTGCTCATGCTTTTAGCTAACTGGTCTCAAGGTGAGTTTTAGTTGGTGTGAGAAGTCAGTTCATTTCATGCACCCAGGCGACTCACTGTAGTTCATCACATTTTTATCACGTAGTAAACATGTTCCACTGACATTTGACAACCACTAAGTGTTTGAGCAGTCACGTTTATTATATTGAACTCATAACACTTTAAACTTGAAACATTTTGCTTAAAAATAGTACTTGAGGACTATTTTAAAGAAAGAAAAAACAAATGTTTTGCTTAAAATGAGAACTATGTGCTATCGTTTTTAAAAATAGTTTAATGTTATAAATGCGTATAAATTGATTTGATATTTTCTTACCTAATGCATTTACGTTCATAACACTTTGTGTCGCTAAGCACTTTTTAGGGCCAACAATAGTGTAATCTACCAAATCCACCAATTCAGACATGCGGACACTAATATTGTTTGTTCTGTTGCTGCAGTGGGCCTGTGCTCTCATTGGCTGTGACCTCGAGTGGCGAGCAGTGTTTTAGTGGTGGAATTGATTCAACAATACAGTGGTGGAACATCCCCAGCTCTAATGTAGACCCTTACGACACATATGGTGAGAAGATCAAATCTATATGACTGTTACATTTTGTCATTTTGATTGAACTTAAAAGTAGGAAACCTGCCTGATCAATAGTATCTTCTCTGTGTGTCCTCTCTTTCACTCAGATCCCAGCGTGTTGGCTGGTACGTTGTTGGGTCACAGTGACGCAGTGTGGGGATTGGCTTACAGCGGAATCAAAAACCGGCTGCTCTCCTGTTCAGCTGATGGGACGATCAAGCTGTGGAACCCTCAGGAGAAGTCACCGTGTCTCAGCACATTTAACTCCGATAGAGGTGAGTGTGAAGTATATTGTATGCAGTATTCTGTAATCGATCGACATGTTGGCAAACTAATTTCTGTTTTTCAGATCATGGTGTTCCCACATCAATTGATTTCACTGGGAGTGATCCAGCTCATATGGTGGCATCCTACAACACGGGAGATGTCGTTGTTTATGATCTAGAGACATCACAGCCCGTCTTGGTATTGTCTGCGCAGGGAGAGAGCAGTACGTCCTTCACATTTGTTCTAAAAACGTGCCCTTGTGGAAATGTGATATAATGTTTATATATAGTTCAGTAATTAAATTACAGGGGTGTGAGAATTGGATTTGTGATGTTTACTTTCTTCTGCGTTGTTGCAGCTATTCCTTTTGGGAATCATATTAATAAAGTAGTCACCCACCCCACCCTGCCAATCACAGTCACCGCTCACGAGGACAGAAACATCAAATTCTTTGATAATAAATCAGGTGGGTTTTTTATTGTATCATTAATATATTATATATTCATACACTACTGTTCACAAGTTTGGTGTCAGTATGATTTTTATAATGTTTTTCAAAGAAGTCTATGTTCACATTTATGTGATCAAAAAATGGTAAAACAGTAATATTGTGAAATATTATTACAATTTAAAATAACTTCCAGTTTTCTGTTCTAATATTTTTTTAAATGTCATTTTTAAAATGTGAAGATACCTCAGTATTTAGTGTCTCTCAAAAATTATTCTAAAATGCTGATTTGATGCTCAAGTATTATCACAGTTTAAAAAAAAATGCTGCTTAATATTTTTGTATAAACTGTGATACGTTTTTTGATGAATAGAATGTTCAAGAGAACAGCGTTCATTTGAGAAAGAAATCTTGTGGAACATTATAAATTCTGATCAATTGAATGCATCCTTGCTGAATAGGAGTACTAAAAAAAGACTACTGTGTGTCTGAATTTTATTGTTAACATTATTATATTCATTCATATATATTCATAACTTATGTAACTTGATATTCTCATTTTGTTTATTTATTTAAAATCTAAGAAAATATATCAGTGTTTTAATGGTACTATTTGTTCATGAAACATTTTTGTTCAGTTATATTTTGCCAGAAGTCCCTAAGAGAAAAAGTAAGGATTGCTGAAGTTTCATGTCTGGGATTATTCATCACCTTCCATCTGTCTTTTTTGTAGGTCAAGCCATCCATGCAATGGTGGCTCACTTGGATGCTGTTACTAGTCTGGCTATAGATCCAAATGGCATCTACTTGATGTCAGGAAGTAAGTGGTTTTTTTTTCCTTCTGCTCTTTACCCTTCATTTATCATTTATTGCATTGTTTATTGCATGTATACATTTATTACATGTATATATCTGCTGAAGAACGAAAGTCACAGAGATCTGGAAATAATGACAGAATTAAAATTTTGTTCAAAACTATCCCTTTAAAAATGAACTCAATGTCTCTTCTTCATCTAACACAGGTCATGATAGTTCCATCCGCTTGTGGAACATGGACAGTAAGACGTGCGTACAGGAGGTTACCGCGCACAGGAAAAAGTCAGATGAGGCCATTTACGATGTTGCCTTCCACCCATCTAAGGCATACATAGGAAGTGCCGGAGCTGATGCCCTGGCCAAAGTGTTTGTATAAAAGAACGTCCGAATGAATGCATACGTGAAGACGAGAAAGAAAGGACTGCGTCACTGCCTTGTGTAACAAGAGTAGCATTTCTCACACTACACTGAAGTGGCTTCCACCTTCGCTGTCAAACTCACACCACACACACAACATTACCAGGTGCCAAGAGGGGGGCGTGCAGTGTGAAGCCAGTGTGGAGTGCTCAATCAGTTTTAATCTTTTTTTTTTCTCCTCAAAAAAAAAGAAAAGAAAAATTAACTGTAATTTACTGTAAGTCAAAGCTGGAGTGAAACCATTGTTTGTAGCCTTTTGACTGGTTTTGAACTGAGCTGATAATGTGTCCTGTAGGTATGTTTCAGTGACCATGGAGTGGTTATCATGTTCATCCATGGAGCTGATGCCCTGGCCAAAGTGTTTGTATAAAAGAACGTCCGTATGAATGCATATGTGAAGACGAGAAAGAAAGGACTGCTTCACTGCCTTGTGTAACAAGAGTAGCATTTCTCACACTACACTGAAGTGGCTTCCACCTTCGCTGTCAAACTCACACCACACACACAACATTACCAGGTGCCAAGAGGAGGGCGTGCAGTGTGAAGCCAGTGTGGAGTGCTCAATCAGTTTTAATCTTTTTTTTTTTCTCCTCAAAAAAAAAGAAAAGAAAAATTAACTGTAATTTACTGTAAGTCAAAGCTGGAGTGAAACCATTGTTTGTAGCCTTTTGACTGGTTTTGAACTGAGCTGATAATGTGTCCTGTAGGTATGTTTCAGTGACCATGGAGTGGTTATCATGTTCATCCATAAGTAGGTTGTCACCGACCATCATCCTGGCACCAGAGGAACTGGGTCCCGCCCTGCCGAGCCATAAACCAGACCCCAATCTCAGTCACCCTCCTCACCCTAATGTAGCGTGCAAATACAGTTAAACTCATTCAACCTTCAGCGTTTGTTCCATTTTTTTTGTGTAAAAAAAAAAAAAGTATAGTTTTTATAATCAATTTTATATAAATGAAGACTCATAAAAAAATCACATTTTTTTTAAAGGGACTATAATCCCACTCGAGCCCTCCATTTTATGCGGTTCTCTTTCATGAAGGTCTTGTGTCTCTGGAAACCCTGGATGAGTGCATACTACATTGCTTTATCATTGTTTTATCACATAACGGAGAGACTATACGCTAGTAGAAGCACAGCGCTTGGTGCCCTGAGAGCTTTTAGGAATTTACAAATAAACTGCAGCATCCTGTCACTATGTGATGTTAATGTACACCTTACTGTAAAATGAGTTTGAGTATCACAGGTTAGAGATCCGAACGCTATTTATTTTCAGTTTGTGGATAGTCTTATCCTTTGTTCAGAGCATAGCTTGATGGTAACTCAGATTGGCCTTTTGGAAATTAGCGTACATGGGTTAATATAAAAGCTCTGTTGGCTGAAAACAGGGTTTAAATTCACCTCCTGATGCTGGAGATCAGGGGAGAAATGAGTTAAAGGGATAGTTCACCCCAAAATAAAAAATCTGTCATCGTTTACTCCCCCTCATGTCCTTACAGACCTGTATAACGAACATAAAAGCTATTTTGAGAAATGAAATGGAACTCAATGGTCACCAAAACTCTCAAATCTTGTGTTCTGCAAAAGAAAGATAACCATGCAGGTTTAGAATGACATGAGGGCGAGTAAATGATAGAATTTTCATTTTTGGGGGGGATTGGAGTTGTCAATCAAATGTATTCTAAATATTTGATTTGGTCGTTCTACCCCAATCTGTTCAATGATTTTTAAAGGAAATAATGCCGTTTATGGTGTAACAAAAGACCTTTTGTTGGTGTAATGCATGATTAATACTACAATAAAGTATTTTTTCTAGTCTTCCAAAAGTTCTGATCAGTTTGAAGAGTTTTGTAAGGTTTTTGATTGACTACGAATCAACAGATTTTAATGATTGTACCACATAGCAAAACAACTGTTGAAAAGTAATGTATATAAAATGTCTATAATAAATATTAAATGGTGTATCTGTATATGCAACATGCCCCGTGTCTCGACAATTAATGCAGCGTTGTATTTTGACGGGTGTGATCGCCAATGATTGCTAGGATTCACGATTTCAATACAGGTGTTTCTACTGAGAGACTCCCGAGTGAACAAAAGGCTTAGCCTGTTCAGATGAGGATATTCAGCTGGTCCAGTTGTACAAACACCTTGTTCTTTATTGAGAAGAAAGTAATAAATTATAAACAAATGTACAAACAATTTGATGCCCCTCCTCCCAATCTGTTTTCATTACGTGAGGCAGTAAAGCATGCATATGGAAAGGTACAAAGAAAATAGGTTCGATAAATACATGAAAGTATCATTTAAGAAAAGGGGGAAAAAAGCTATATAATCAAAACATTAACTTTCCAACCGTAATCTTCATCGCACACTCAGCCATACGTGATTCATTGTGAAAATGTGACATTGTGAATGTACTACAGTGCATGTATATTGTTTGCTACCCCTGGGAAGAACTATATTTGATTATAGAACCCAGATGTATTTATGCTATTGTGTGAGTGAAAGCTGTGTATCTGTGTGCTGCCATCAGAATGCATAAGAGGGCGCTGTTTCACTGACGATCCTCTTCATGACTGCTTTTGCTTACCATCTTGTGCATTACCTTGCATAACTGCAATAGAATCTTCAAGTTCCGAAATTAATATAAAAGAGCCTTTTGGTACAGTGACTCCTCCACAGGAAAAAAAAAAAAGGCATGCCTGAAACAGCGAAAGAATGTTTTTTTCACCAGGAACATAAAGAGAACGACTATAAATCACAAATAATTACATTCTCCACATTATAGAGAGGTTGACATACAATTACTGTGTGATACATTCTCAATTAAGCTGTAAACTCCTTTGGATCAAACATACCAATACCTTTATAACAAAACCGTTCAAATCGCGTTTTCTACAAAAGTGATTTTTCTTATTCACTCGTGCCCGTTTTTCTTGTACTTAAGCAGTCGCACTGTCTAGTTGAACTCTGTGAAGTCCCTGCAGATGCCCCGTACGATGGGCTGCTGGAACTGCGCCAGGCCGGTGAACTCACGAGTGAAAAACACATGGCTTTCATTGGGCTCGGACGCCATTGCCTTCAGATCTTCCATCGGAGCCCAAGCTACGCCCACTGCATACACAGTGATTCCTGTGAAGAAACAAGAAGAACACGGTCAAGATGACACCACACTTGTTTACTTTGTGAATGCACTATTGATATTTTGTGCATTAGAGATAAAGTACTTTTTAGAGCTCCTAAATGTTCTAGATCAATTGTTTTTAACCTTTGCAGACCCTGGAACCTCCACCTACACCCTTACCACCCCAGGGACCTTCACTATAAAAATCAGGCTAGATTTTGTTGGCAACACTTAATTATGGGGGTTGAAAACCTAGGTTCTAGATGGAATGTCAGTGTAAAAAGCGTACCCTCTCTCTGGGCGGCCATAGCCGGCCCTCTCACATCATCATAAGACTGTCCATCAGTGATGATGATGAGGAAATTCTTGTTGGAGCCTGTGTGGGGTTTAAAGAGATTCCGCACGGCAAAGTTGATGGCGTCTCCAGTGGCCGTTCCTCCGCTCATGTACGGGATGTTCTGCAGGGCCCTCAGAGCATTATCTTTTGTGGTGTGCTCATTGAAGTTGAACTCCATCCTTTGGTCGTAGGTGAACTGAATGGCACCGATGCGAGATCCAATGTCAGAGATGTCAAAGTTGCGTGCGATAGAGAGAAGAAGGTCCAGCACTAGCCGAAAGTTCCCATCACCTACGCTGCTGGAGCCGTCAATCAGGAAGCCCAGGTTCACTGAGTTATAGCATGTCTTGCTGCAGAGCATCTGATCAATGGAGCAAAGTTTATGAGCTAGTGGCTTCACAAACTTGTTGGTGCCGAACCAGCTGGGCATGGTGAATGAGAAGACCTCATTGTCCTTGCACACTGCCTGTGAGATATATGTCGGTATAAATGGATTTCAGCAAACTCGTATGCTTCCACTGAAGATGCATGAATTCATATGTGAAACATCTTACCTTTCTCATGAAGTCTTGCTCGCTCACCAGGCTCATCTCCTCAGGGGCAGGTTTGGCGACAGACACGAAGAAGATGTTAATACCAGACTCTCTGGCTAAAATTGCTGCCTCCTCCACATTATCAGAAGGCCACCCATCGACAAACACCACAATGATCCGTGGGTAACCTCTCCGAACACCAAAATCCGGATTGAAGAAGTTCCTCACAGTGTGCAGTATGGCCTTACCTGTGCAAAAGGCAATAACTCAAGCCTGCCCAGTTCTGCTTATTTAAGCCAACGCATTAGTGTCACAGATCCGTGACATGCTGTCAATTATTAAACAAAAGCATATTGACTGTAAAAACTAGTGAAAAAAAATGCATTTACAATGGAAGTCTATGGGTCAAGGCATTTTGAAGAGTTTCAAAGCACACATGTGAAAATGTTTGCATGCTACATTGTTATATGACTGGGTAGCAACAAGTGACTCTCTTTTTGAGTCACTGATTAATTTATTCAACCAGTTCTACAAAACTTGATTCCTTCAGGGGCAAAACAAATGACTGCCTTTGAGTAACAGAATTATTCACTCAACCTATTTGTTTAAAACAACAACAAAAAAGAGCTCTTTCATTCAGGAATGTAACAAGTTTATGACCGAGTTATTGAATCATACATTCAACCAATTAGTTCAAAACACTGATGTCAAAACAGACTCTGTTTTTTCAGAGATGCGCAAATGCTGTGGCTTCGTTTGGAACTATTTTCATTCCCAGAAATAGGCAAAGTCACTGGTAACACTGGGTTTTCCTTTCATGGTGACTTGAAATGTTTGAAGAGATAGTTCACCCCAAAATGAAATTCTGTCATCATTTACTCACCCTCAAGTTGTTCCAAACCTGTACGAATTTCCTTCTTCTGTTAAACATAAAATAAGATCTTTTGAAGAATGTGGGTAAGCAAATAGTAACTGGTCCCCACTGACTTCCATAACATGGAAAAATACTATGGAAATCAATGGGAAAATATTTTGTTCATCAGAAGAAAGAAATTCAACTTGAATGTAAGTAAATGATGACAGAATTTTCATCTTTGGATGAACTCTCTTTTAAGTCTAGTAGTTGTACTTTCAAACTGTGTATTTTAACGAATTCTGGGGACCTATTGATTTCAGTTGGAAGTGCATTAC